TCGACTTTCATTTATAATTAAAAAAAGTCAATCATGTCAAAATTTATGTGAATCTAACGAAAACTCATTTTTCAAAAAATTGTAAAAATGGGCCCTTTTAACTTACGACACCCATATACTGTACTTAGATATAGTTTTTAGAACCTTATCAAGAACAGTATGCAAATTAACTTTTTGTTTCTTACCCATCAGAAACGGTATTTTTACCCTCAGAGATAAACATTTAATTGGCGATGACCGAATCGATAAGTTATCAATTCGGTCACCGTGGGATTTATGATAATAGCCGCAATTAGATTAGCGGCTCGGCTTTTAGAGTCTGCATCAAGAATTCGCGGCTCGGTCCATGTCGTTTGCATCACAGCTTTGTTCTGGGACAACTGAAAAAATTCCCGATGACCGAATCGATAAGTTTCTGAGTTCGGCCGAAGTTGGTTACTTATTAATGACTCGGTAACTTATCGATCCGGTCATCAGAAAATTTCAGTTGTCCCAGAATTTATGAGAACAGCTGTAAGGAACGCTTACCTGACTGCCGGGTCAGCGTAATGTCTCCATTCAAAATTCGTGTATCGGATAAACAATGCTGAGGCAATTACACCTATGTTACCCAATGCATCTCCCAATACATGGAGAAACACACCTTTCATATTATGATCTTTGTGGCTGTGATTATCATGAAGATGACTGTGCGAATTCTCGTGTTTATGCGCGTGTGCTTCATGACTTGAACGGTTTGTTTCATCTCTTTCTTGTATTTCAATTGAATAATCCTCATGTGCATCAATTGTTGACATTCGTTCCAAAGTTGTTGAAGGTAAATGCTGAGAATGTGAATGTCCATGATGACTATGTTCTACAACAAAATAGTAAGTACTATTATTACTTGCCAATCATATCAATTTAAGTAAGACAATTTACCGTGAAACAGAAAAAGTCCTAGAATATTTGATGCCAATCCAGCCAATCCCACATAGAAAATCAACATTACATTTTTTATTTCTATATTGATGTTTATATATTATATAGAATGATACGTATAAATTAGCTCCATTAATGCACGGGGTATCATATGGGCAGATTTTTGCAATCGTACTAAAATAGATGTAATTTGACCTTTTTTTAATCTCGATTAACTTTTGATCTGCTAGTCTGTTTTTGATGATTTTGCTACCAAAATGTTCGTCTCGATGAGACAATTCTAACGAGTTCAGAATCATCAAAATCCAATTACCGGATCATGAGATCGTTAAGGTTTTTTTACACTGACGCACATGCAAATGTGGGTTTCATTGGTTAGACGCGGTCTAACCAATGAAACCCACATCATAGGTACGTCAGTATGTAAAAAAAACCTTAACGATCTCATGATCCAGTGATTGGATTTTTATGGGGTTGAGCTCGTTAGAATCGTCTCATTGAGACGAACATTTTGGTAGCAAAATAATCAAAAACAAACTAGCAGATCAAAAGTTACTCGAGATTAAAAAAAGGTCAAATTACATCTATTTTAGTGCGATTGAACAATTAGCCGAAACTCTTTGCTCATCCTTCGTTTCGGGTAATAGATGACACGAAAATAAAGGAAACATACCTTGGCCGACAAAAAAACGCTGAATTGCCTCTATAAATATGTTTAAACACAAACTAAGAAGTAATACACCATTTATGAAGCCACCCAAAACCTCTGCTCGTTGCCGACCATATGAATATCTTGAAGAACTTGTGGTAGCGGAAGCGAGCTTAGTGAATTTACATGAATTAGCTAAGTTTCCATATATTAGAATATACATATAGGTTTTTTTTTTTAAGATTACCTTAAAAGCGTATAATGCGATTAAATAACTTATTAAATCATTTAGCATATGAAAAGAGTCTGTTACTAATGCCAAAGAATTTGTCCAGTATCCAATAATTATTTCTGCAAAAAAGAACACGCCAGTGAGAAAAATCACTATATAAATACGAATCGTGCGTGATAGGACCATTCTTAAATTTAACGTTTAGCATATAAACTAGTATTTTGATAAGTGCTTTTTATACAATTCGATTGCGACATACGTCGTTTTCTGATATATTTATCATGTGAAAACCACTTTGGATCTTCTTATGATTTTCTAGCAAAGATTCCGAGTATGAAAAATACTAATTTAACCTCTTACTGTTATAAATAAATGGCTAGCGGAATTAATTTTACTTTTAATACTGTTGGTGGTTAAATTAATACGGTTATGGCATGTGCCATATTATTTATTTTGTGCCATTATGCCGTAACGCCGTATCGTAAAAGTTCATATGGGTCTATTTCATGGGTCTATTTCACTCCACCAATTTTTAAACCCTTTAGTAGATCCGGGTCTATTTTTTTTAAACCCTTTAGTAGGGTTATATCATGAAAAAAAAAAATTTGAAATGCATACACACTTTGTATTTATTATAGGCATTCTAATTTTTTGAAAAACACATTTAATTAATAAAGATTCTGTGGTTCGCACCCGGGTCTAATTCATGGTGGGTCTACTATTTTGGGGGGATCTCGTATATGAACTTTTACGGCAATGCCGTAACGCCGTAAAGTTGTAATGCATGCCATTATGCCGTTATGTTGAAATATTATAATGCTGTTGTATCTAAATCTTATACGTAATGCTGTTGTAGTATTGTGTTAAAATGCCGTAATGCCATAATAATATATTCCGCTAGTATTGTGTTGCTTAAAGTAATTTTTAGAATTAAGGTATCACATAGTAAAATAAAGCTGATGTTTTCATTATTCGCTTTATTATTCATTTTTTAAAGTGATCTTATTTGATAAAGATTGTTTAAAGTTTGAATTGCTAGACGATCAGTGATTATTAATATTTTTCTATATTTATCCTTAAGTAGCAAATTTATTGTAAATATACTTTTTTAAAAAATTAGAATATTAATAATTTTTTTTTTTATAAATATATATTTAAAAATAAAAATTATATAATTGTATTTTTTTTTATACTACGTATATATAGAAAAAATTTACAGTATGTTAAATATAAACTTAAAATATATAACTAAATTTTTTAAAAAAGCTATAATTATAAAAATTATTTGTTAATTTTTTATCAAAATATCAATTTTAGATCAATAATTCTTAATATAATATTATAATTTATATAAAAAAATAACAGCTTTTTATTTTAGAATTAATTTATTTGTAGCCGCGGTTATATGTAGCCGTTCTATCAAATATAGTTGTTTATAAAAAAAATTTTTTTTAGGATTAAGATTAGGGTTGGATTAGGGTTAGAGTTTAGAGTAAAATTGTAAGAGAAGCATTTTTACTTAGTTACATGACAGGGGTTATTGAATATGGCCACAGATGGCTCAAGCATCGATCTACTTGTCCGGATAGATTTCACCGGGTTTCTCCTTTTATGGTTAAATTGAGTTTCCAAAGTCTTTCGGCTTTATTTCTTAAAATGTCGTTCCTAAATCAATGTATGATTAGCGTATTGTGAATATAAAAATTCGATTGTCACTGTTGATCTTGATGAGTCATTTTGTTTCGGGTTTCTTATTTTGATAAGAAATTGTTCCTTATCATTCTAGCGGTTCTATATGTAAAGTTTCGGTTCAAGAGTTTATTCCAGATATAGGGTCGAATTTTTAGTTCGGTTAAGGTTGGTTTCTTTATTGATGTAGCCACGTGGGCTCTATCTTGTGGTTCGAAGATTGCAAGATATTTTGTCTTGTAGTGATCGTTAATAACTTTATTAGCTCTTCGAATTCGATCCTTAGTTTCTTGTAGTTTCTTTTGGAGTTTGTCTACGTAGTTTTCCATCCGTAGAATCTCATGTCTAGTGACATATTCAGATATTTTGTTGCTTGATTCGAAATCTTGATTTGTCATTCCATCGAGAGATTTCTTATAATTTTCTTCATCGTCTAGCGATTCAATTTCGTCATATGGTTGTTTTTCGGGGTTTCCTTCATACAATGCTTCTTCTTCATAATAAGCATTAATTTCTCCGAATATTAATTCTAAATTTTGTGCAAACATAGGGATTAGTTGTAATATCATCATTTCTTCGAATGTATACCATTGCCATTCTGAGGCTTTGGTAGGTTCCATTTGTTGAGGTTCCATCCAGTCATCTACTGGATATATAAAAACGGTCCGTTCGATTTTATATTTTGCTTCAAGCATTGGACAGTTCTTTTGTGACGTCCATTCCAATCTACTTATCTACTTAGAGCAGTTTCTTCCCAAATGTTTATCAATTTCTCCTTTTGTAGTTCTAGGTTGGTTTCTTCGAAGCATTCTCTGAAAAATGCTTCTTTAGCTGTTTCGCATGGATTACCATGAATATTTAGGTTTCCTTTCCCTCTGGGTCCTTGGAAATGTTGCCAGTAGGGTCTTTCTGGGTCAATTCTTTCTGATAGGGATATATATGGTTTACTATTTATTTTCTTAAATAATATTCCTTGTACTAGTCTTCTTGTAGGGAGATTAATATTCGAAATTCTCTGTGTTATTGCATAAAATTGGTTTCTACAGTTGTTACAATGGTCAAAGAATATTGTTTTGTTTCCATTGAATTCTTTAAAGAGGTAGTATGGATATAGGATGTTGCATCCTGGGCATCTATGTGTCCAGTTGTTTCTTAGTAAATTCATGATTTAGTTATTTTTGCAATTATTTGTTTCTCTATATCCTTTCCTAATTCTTCAAATAATTCCTTATAGGTTTCTAATTTGATCCGTTGTTCGGTTTTAGTTTCAATTTTGAGCTAATTGTTAATATCAGTTAAGTTTCGGTAGATATTAATTCGTTGTTCCAGGAGTTCAACCAGTTTTTCTGATTCTGGCATCAAAATGGTTGATATTGTCCTATGAGTAAAATGTCAACAGTAGGTATCCTGGTTTCGTATCCTCCGTAATTTAGTTTATTTCCTGTTGCTGAGACTTCTACTATTTTTCTTAATATGTTCAGGTATCTTGTTTGAACTTGTATTTTTTGACGTATTGCTTCATTTTCGTATAATATAGTTTCTTGTAAATTTCGTATTCTTTCAATTTCTTGGATCTCAGAATGTATTTCTTGGTTATGTGCCAACCACTTCTTATATTGTAGACTTTTGTAGGCGTTCGAAATTTCCAATTCTTGACTAAATTCGGTTCTAAATCTATGCCTTATTCTAGGTAATTCGTATTTTTCCAATATCAATAGAAGGTATTGAAATCCTGATTTCAATCCTTCAAATGTCAAGAGGGTTTCATAATGAGTTTTCTTGTCCTGCCAATCGAGATATATTTTCTGTAGTTTCTGTTTCTTGAGGTAAATAAATTTTTCTGTTAGGTATCTTAATATAATATAGTAATTATCTTGTTGTTCAGTTAGTTCCATTAGTTTCTTTGATTTCTTCTAGCTTAATCTTAAAGATTTCTTCAAGAGCTTCTAGTTTCAATTCAATTTTCCGAATTGTGGTTTCTTTATTTTTTTCTATAAAGATTTGTATTTTGTTTTTATAAAAATCTGATGCTATATTTTGAGTTACTGATGCCTTATTTTTCTTAAATCTTTCTTTTTGAAGTTCCTCCTCAAGTTCCAATGATTCAATTAAAAATAAAAAATATAGGCTAGTATACAATTTTCCCTCTTTATGCAGTAGTAGATATACTCTTTTCTGGTATGTTTTAATTATTTCAGTTGATAATCCGTATTCTGATAGGTTCTCTTTTATTTTTATTATTTCAGAATCTGGTAATTGGAAGTTTCTTTTTCTTGATGACCACTTGACTTTTCTTCGTAGTCCTTGTGTTACTTTACTTTCTTCGTAGTGTTTAAATTTGTCTTTTTGATATATTCGTTTCAAGGATTTAAATAGAAGTCCGAGTTTATATTGTTCCTTTGTTTTAATACGTTTCTTTTCAGTTTTTGTAAATGGTAATTCTTTCAAATTTTCCATTAAAATATCTTTTCGAAATATTTTAATTCTTTTTCTTTGTCCTTAATTGTTTTGGCTCCTTCTTTTGTTAGCAAATCTTCTGCTATAAATATAAAGTTATATAATATATCTTTTAAGAGATCTGGTACATCGTGTTTCAAGTTTACGTCTCGTATTTGTTTGAATTGTCAGACAGTTGCTGTTAAAGTTTCTGTATATCTTTTTCATTCTTGAAAATTTGCAGGTATCTGTGAATTGAATCTAACAAGAGCTTTAGTAAATTGTAGTGATCATAATAGATTTCCTATTGTTGGGTTACTTGTAGGATTACAGCGGGATATTAAATTTGATAATATTACATTTATATCAAATAATATTTCGTTGGTAGATCATTGAAATAATATTTCTTGGTAAGGGTCAATTTCTTTTAAAAGGGTATTTCTAAGTACTGGTTGGAGGTTCTAGATATAATTAAATCCGGAGTTTTCCAAAGATCTTTCTATTCATTTTGGATAATTATCCTGAGGTGTGAAAGTATGTTTCTCTTGTGGTTTCTTTTTATAAAAATAAATTGTTGCTGTAAAATTAATAATTTCTAAAAAGTTTAGTTTTAGAAATTTTTGCATATTCTGCTCCGTGTTTTGAAGTTTTACTAAGTCTCTTAGTTATTATGGTTTCGTGGTACTATTCTATCCAATATTTCATTTATTCCCTGAATTTGCGATATGATGTTTTCCACAAAGCAAAATAGGTAGATTCTGTCTGTTACGTAATTTAGGGTTTGTAATAGTGCTAATATTCCAGTATTTAGGTTTGTTCTCCTTATTGCTGCTAAATCCAACGAAGCTGATTCGAATAGGTATAACAAATTTATATTTGTTCTGATTTATTTTAAGGCTTCTATTGCAGTATTTTCTCATGCTCTTCTTTGGTTGATTAATACAAGGCTATCTTGCGGGTTGCCGTTTACTATTATTGGTAGGTAGATAGTTTGCAATGCTTCTAATTCTTGTTCAGTAACTGTTCCAGCAGTTATTGCTTCAATTGCTTTGGTAAATTAA